CCAATTATATATTAGCTGTAGCGTATGTATTTTATGCAAAATTTTACTAAGCAATTTTACTACGCAAGTTTACGCAAAATTTTACTAAGCAAGTTGATGACAGTATATGTAAAATACATACATTATGGACAACACATCGGTAGTAACAGTAGTATAATTCGAATTTACGTAGTACGTAGTATATAATTCGAATTTTCTGTGTACTTAAAACAGCTTTTATCGGACGGTCCAACTTTTAAAAGTTTTTCACATATGCAAGCGTGCGTATATGTGAAGGTTTACGTATACATTATACGATCTAACTCTATCATCAGCGGAACTCGTTTCTCGGAAATGGCTATGGGCGGCTTGGGAATCGAACCGCTCGCCTTTGCACCCGGACGCGACTTGCTAAACCATTATAATACCGGCCTTTTTTTGTACTCCATGCACTTTACTGGAGCACTAATATTCTGTATGCATGGCATTTCCCTACTTACCCTATACTGTTCGGCTGCTGCATCCTATGCAACGGGTTTTGTGCGGGAAACCCTAAGGTGAATTTGGCGTAGATTTTGTTATACTAGACATACTGCAGAAAGAAGTGGTTTCGTATGCATCGGTACAGCGTTATCTCACTGAAATTTGGACTGGGCGAGTGGATTGGTCATTTGGTAAGACGGTCGCGTTCACGCTGATGACACTCATTTGTCCGCCGGCATGGTTCTACTTCTCGTTGCCTCTCGACACACGTATTGGACGCGCTCCAATCATCAAATTTGTTTGTCACATCGGTAAATTTTATACAAAAATAGGCAATCAAAATTTATTGTTTTAAAATGAATTCTTGCTGAAAAGATGTGTTTTGTCGCACAGCATTGCTTCATATACTCGCGTAGGGCCGACATCTTTTGAGTCCTTACACAGTTAGTTTTCGACATAACATTACACAAATATTTACGGAGGGACATGTAAGTGTTGCCAGTAGATGAACGGGCAAGGGATGTTGTCTCTTCCCGAAAAACAAAGAAAGGAAAGAAGCGAATGCCTAGAAATCAGCTGTCTAAACCCTAAATGATCGTAGTAACTATGTTGCTTCTCACACTGATTATGCGGCAGCGTGGTACAGGTGACCAACGTGTGAATATAAATTGATCGTTAGCTAAGAAATTTTGCTTTAATACTGGTTACGTATGTGTGAACTTACGGAGACAATTTACCGCCGGTTGCGGTGCTAAATAGGAAAGTGTGCTGCTCAACGGACCGAAGCGTTCTTTTTTAGTTACATCCCCTCTGCCTGTTGTTATAAATTCTATTGTCGGCTTCATTTCAGTGTCTCATATCTATTTCACTATCTTGTTAACGATTGTGGTGCTCAATTTAACACATAAAATCTATGAAGTGCAAAGTATCGTACCCTATCCGGTTGAATGGTTGTTGCTTTTATGGCTTTCCGGAAATCTTGTTTCTGAATTATCAAATGTTGGTGGTGGATCCGGTCTTGGAATTGTTAAGGTTGGTTTAGTTTTACCAGCCAATTTTTACTACTGTCGATCTTATTATGAAAAAAAAAATGCAAAAATTTCTAAGTCCGAGTACGCTGCTATTCGACTTCATTGCCTTTCGTTTTAAGAGCAAAATCACGTATAGTTGAAACACGAATAGCCACATACATCCATAATTTCGTAGGTTTTTAGAACAAATTAGTTGAATAATCATTCCATCTACGATTTGTTCATTCGTTTCGGTGGTAAAATGGTACATACGTATGCCAGAGAGTCAAACCTGCCAACAGCTTGTAAGCAACTCTCGAAAAAACGAAAACAGAGGGCTTTTGACTCTGAGGATTTAATAAATATGTTGTCACATCTGCTTTGTCATTAGTGGCATTAACATTAAGCAGTTATCATTGTATTCGTCACTATCACTACTGTTACATTCATAGCAGTATTGCCATCATTGTCATTGTCGAGTTGCCATCATGATTATCATTACCTACACAACCAAACTTGCCAAGAATATCAAGGCCATTAACGTTATTAATATCATAATCGTCATTTTTGTAGGCATTTTTAGGTCCTAATTCTGGTGCTTAGCGCAGCAGCAATAGCGGTGCACGTGCTGGCATTTGTGCTTCCT